CGAACTGAGAAACATTCTCATAAGGAATTTTGCTGTGCTTTTGTCCTTTCCATATTGGAGAACATAAAAGACGGTGGCGACTCTTGCTTCCACGACATTTCGTGAACCAGCTTAAAAAACAGTCAGTTCTATTTCCACCTATCACAACGTGTTATGCATATTTGATGCTGCTGAATCTTTCATAGTCCACTCAACTTCTGTGCTTGCATAATCAGAACTTCTGATGATGTTCTGGCAGATCTTTCCAGTTGCATTAGAACATCTTTTTCACATCAGAACTTCTGCATGTAAAGATACTTATTATTAGCAAGCATATTTGTTCTTTATATCATGTGTTTGTTATCATAAAAACTCTTGTTGGGCTGTAGAACTAAATTATGTTCTAACATAACCTTTCTATCAATAATAAAGAAGCACTTTCTTTTTGTCCTTCATGTTATCATGGCAAGTCTCATAAAAAATATGCACCATTGTCCAACACTAAAAACACTACTAGGTTTGATCTAGGTCATGCTGATTTGTGGGATCCACCACCTTCTCCTTCAAGTAGTGGATACTCCTATTGTATTTTTTATGCCTTTTCAAGATATACTTGGATCTATCTGCTAAAGCACAAAAGTGATATCCTATATGCATTTAAAACGTTCCAAAGTTATGTCTCCACACAATTAAGTGCCAAGATTAAAGTTATTCAATCAGACTTTGGGGGAGAATTTTGACCATTTACTCAACTGTTAAATGAGAAAGGAATCTTGATAGGCTCACTTGTCCACATGCCTCTCAAAAACGGAATAGTGGAAAGAAAGCATGGATATATAGTGGAAATGGGATTAACACTCCTAGCACATGCCATTACGCAAATGAACTTCTGGGGCCATAGCTTTACTGCTATAATATACCTAATCAATATGTTTCTCTCAAGTGCTTTGCATGGATTCACTACACCATTTCAAGTATTGTTAAACAAGAAACTAGTCTATGCTGCCATAAAGAATTTTGGATGTGTCTGCTACCCACATATGCGACCCTACAATAAGAACAAGCTAGAGCTCAGAAGCTCAAAGTGCCTATATCTTTGTGTATCCCCCACTCACAAAGGCCACAAGTGTCTAAGTGTGGAGAGTAGAATTTTCATTTCAAAAGATGTGATTCTTATTGAAACCGAGTTTCCTTACACGTCATGTATTCTTCAATCCCCTAAAAGTCATAAGCCTTATACTGATTCCCCACTCAGGATTATGCCAAATTGTGTCAATCACCATACTCCTAAGCAAATACCTTAGCACATTAACTTACCTTCTCCTATCAACAACACTTCTACTACTCTTATCCCTGTTTCATCTCCTAGTATCTCTCATGTCTCTAGAATAACATCTCTTATACCTCTTAACTCACCCTCATCTAGCATACCTCAGGTATCAGATGCTAACACTACCTCAAGTGTACCTCAAACAACTGATACAAATGTGACAACTAACCTTGAAGTGTGTATCCCTTCACTACAAGCTAGCACTTCAAACTGTAATTTGTTTAGCTCAAGAACATTATCACCATCCTTTCATACACAAACATCTCAACATCATGCCCCTCTTACTATTAATGACCATGACATGCTCACCATGACTTAAACTAGCAAGTCTACACCCAAAGTATTTGTGGTTCACGTTGAACCTACTTATACTAAACAAGCCTTAGCTAATCCTCAATGGTTCCAAGATTTGAAAGTTGGGTATGAATCTCTAATTCAGAACGGCACATGGGAGCTAACCTCATTACCCTCATATAGAAAATAGAATGGCTTCAAGTGGGTATTGAAGGTTAAAGAGAATGCAAATGGTAGCATCAACAAGCTCAAAGCTAGATTGGTTGCAAAACGGTTTCATCAACAACATAGTTTTTACTTCCATGAAACCTTCTCACATGTTGTTGTCATACCCCAAATTTACCCTAACCATTAAATAAATCATATTATGAAAGTTTTATTTCTATAAGGGTGTAAAACATGGAAGAGAGGTGAACTGATTTAAAGTGGGCCATCAATATCTGATGGCCCATAAAAGTTTCACCCATGTTTTGAAAGGAGGTGCACTGTTTAAAGAGGTTGTTGTTGAATAGAGAGGACAATTAAGTTGTTCAGCTAGCCCACTTGTTTTTTTGGTTGCTGAATAATAGATCATGGGGGTTTGTATTTGTTTTAATCAGGTTTAGGCCCATCAAGGTTTTCAGACCGGCCCACTAAGTTATTAAAGTCCGTTTTTTGAGTAAGTTGGGGTGTGTGTTTTTCTTTAAAAAAAAGGCCATAAGAAATCTGTTTGTTTAAAGCCCAATGAGGAGGTCCATTTAGGGTCATGTTTTTTTAAAAGCCCAACATTTAAAAAAACAGTATGGCCCAATTCTTTTTTTGGTTTTGTTTTGAAAAGAATGTTTTGTTTTAGCTATAAACTTGTTATTCATCATTATAATTAAAACATGATGATTATGGGCTTAATTAAAACATTGTTTGTTTGCTAATTGAAAGAAACGATAGGCCTTCTAAAAAACACACAGCTCTCAGCCCAAAACAAGTAGGCTCATTTCGTTTGGGATGATGATGTTGTAGATAAACAAAAATGCATGGCCCAAAACCTCATAACATTTATTGTTTGGATTAAAGAATAATAACACATGTTTTTACAAATATTGTGTGAATCATGAACGGAATCAAAGTAAGAACAAAACTGAAATAAATTGGTTTGCAGGAAGAATCAAGATTTCATTAAAAATAATATCATACTAATACAGAAACTAGATTAATACAAATCAAAACCTAATACAGATTTACAGAAACAATAGAATTCATATTTAAACCCTAATTAAAATCGCATAACAAATTACAGACACATTAATCTATTTCCTAATATACTAAAATCCTAAAACTCTATAAAAACCCTAAAATTAACAGTGAAGAGGACAGTCAGGGAATTTACCAACAAAAATTTACAGAGAAATTTACAAAAAAGAAGGAATCGGAAGAAATTTGAAGAACAGAGTTTGTCTCCATCGTCGCTGTAGATCTGTATTCACCACTCCTATTTAGGGTTTCAATATCCGAAACCCTATATCCGCCGCCGTCACTTTCTTCGTCATCACCGTCTGTCGCCTTCTCCATCTTCATCATCGGATACCATCAACTACAAGCAGAAGAAAGAGAGATAAGCCAAACAAGATCGGGGCAGAGAAGCAAAAAACACAGCGAGGTAAGGATCACTTAGCTTCTTTCCTTTTTGTATGTTGCTATGTTTGATCTGAAGGTTGGGGTTTATAGTGTAAGGAATTGTAGAGAGAGAGAGAGAGAGAGAAATGGTTGGTCGTTGCCGATTATGGACTAGAGTTTTGGTATTGTGGGAGAAGAGGTGAGAATGGGTGAGACGCGTAAAGAGAGAAAATGACAGAAAGAATGAAACAATTTTGCTTTGTAAATGAAAAATATATTGTGTCAAGAAATACAGTGCGTGTCATCCTATGACTGTTATTACGCACCATCATCTATACCCACGATCTCAATCACACGAACCAGCATACACACGCCCATCGTAAGCCCATACGCCCTCCCGTACGCTGCCTAGCAGACTCCTCTATAACAATTCCTTTGGGCCTAGCCCAAACGCTACCTACACCCCTGTTTCTTTTATTTTGTTAAACACGCTCATATGCATACCCCCTAGCCATAATGGGTCCAATTCAAAATATGGACTTGGACCCTAACTCCCTACTGTTAATACCCCCCATTTTTATGTAGTTTAAAAATATATCCCCTGCGCTTTTGGACTTGAATTCAATATCTGAATTCAGGCCCATGCTATTGAGATCTCCCCTCTTTACTACTTTAATTATATTCGCACCCCCTCGCTATTATTTAATTTTCTTCTTTTTTCTTCTTCTTTTTATAATTATAATATTTTATTAATTATTATTATTAAATCACATAAATTTTTTATTTTCTAATTACATCCAAAATATTATTTATTTTATTGCATTAAAATATTTTTAATCATGCATTTAAATAAAGATGTTTTCTACAATTAACACATAAAAAATATTCAACCAACAATAAATCATTTTTCATAACTAAATTAATTCGACAATTAATTTTTGAAAAGGATTGTGGAGCATATTTTAATTAACTACGCGCTTTGTCTAAATATCTCCGCTATTCACGCACCTAGACTAAGTATGCAGGGAATTAAAATATCTGCGTTATCTATAAAAAACATCAATCCACGGTGAACTACGAATTGAGATTCTGATTTCTCATAAGAGGATACGTAGGTATATGACTAAAAATCGTGGCGAGTTCCCATAATAAAAAACTAAAACTCTATTTTCTAAAGATTAATTCTAAATCTAGTACTTGTGAGCAAGGTAGGTGAGAGGTGTCTAACACCTTCCTTTCGTCTAAAACCGAATCAAAAATTTAGAATCTCTGATTTTTTTAGAATTAACCTTTATATTTCATTTCTTAGGATAAAAATTAAGGGTAGGAACTCTTATTTTAAAATCAATAACAACAGTGATAAACTCATCACCATCAGAATTATCCTTACCTTAGCCTTTTCACAATAGGGAATCCTTACTTTACATGCGGTAAACTGATTTTTCTTTTAAAACTCTTCTAAAATGTGGAAATGACACAAATTAATTGCAATATATATAAATTAGATTTTCTTTTGAAACTCTTCTGAAATGGTAGTTTTGATACAAATTTATTGCAATATATGTACAAGATTTTCTATCACGTAACTAATTAAATTCTATTTATCTCTTCAAATAACAATCAATTGGGTCAGATTAATTAACTTAATTTTATCAAAATATCTTTTTCTCACGCAAAGCCCATTAATTATTTCCTTTTTTCAATTAAGGAAATCAATGGTGATATAAATTGGAGTGATACGAAGCCAATTATATTCAATATTCCAAACACTATTATCGATAAGAATTATAAATAAAAAACCAGTGTTATGGCAAAAACCAGTGCTTCAGTTGTTCTAGCTGTCCTTGTTGTAGAATTATTTCTGAATGGCTATAATGCTGCTGAGAGTGTAGAAAGAGGTTATCAACCTGAGAAAGGTGAAGCTGATGTTTACAAATCTCATGACCTATTTGATTTTCTTGAATGTGTTTTGATATATTTATATGTATTAAGTAAATATATGTGTGTGAAAATATTATGATATCATAACTACATAGCCTTCATCTTTACATAGATGAAATAAATGCATTGTTTCCATGATTGCAGCAGGAGTTGACGGATTGATACATTGCTTTCTCGTATCATGTCCTGCTATTTACTGTTCAAAATTTTGTGTGTTAAGAGGCTTCCCTAGAGGTGGTTCTTGCTTAGGAGGATCCTCTGGATCGTGTTGTTGCTTTGGAGATGCCTAAGAGATATGTGTTTGATAATTGTACATTTTTCAACATAACTTTAATGTTTTTATTAAAATAAGTTGAAAAGCCACTATTGTAAGTTCAACTTAGAAGTAATTTCCAATATTAAGAATTGCCCGTAATAAATAAAACACTCTTGCACTTATATGATACCGGAAATAATTGAACATATTTTGATGATTTTAGGTATATTGTTAGACTAAATTAGTTTTTATATATATTGTCAGTGCATTTTACAACAAAATAGTAATGTGGAGTATAAAAAATCGTGTTTTAAAAGAATTAAAATGGATGATAATTGAGAGAAAAATTTATCCAAAATATTTTTGGGCGAATGCGATTAATACTCAATGATACGGCTTAAATAAAATGTTTATTAGATTTATTCTAGAAAAGACCCTATATGACTTACTTATTATATGTTTTTGGTTGCAAGTATTTTATTATGAATAATGGTAAGAATAAGATAAGTAATTTCGATGCTAAAAAATGCTTACACACAAACACTCATATTGCTTTTTATTTTAGATCTTGCAGGTAGTCAATTTAATTGCTTTGAGAGTTTGCTTTATTTTAGGTTCTTAATTCCATATTCATAGGGGTTTATTTGTTATAAGTTTATGGTTTGAGTCTACGCGATCCCTATATCTAGCAAAAAGGATATTGATCTCTCTACAATCTATTGGTATTTGTTATAAGAATCAACATAATTTACTTAACAACGCTAGATTCACCGAGTAAATGTCACATACCTCTAGGAAACATGTCCACTATTAAACAACCATTGAGCCCTTTGAGAATAAGAAGAAAAAAGAACATGGTTAAAGAATTGTCTTGATTTAAGAACCTTTGAAAGCTAATCTCCTCAGTGTGACAATCGTTGACCAAGAAAATGATATTGCCTAAGAAACGCATGTATTCATTCAAGGATGTCCCTTGTCATTGAACCAAATTTGACAAATATATAGTTCATAAAACTCCTACTAACTGAATCATAGGCTTTTTCAAACTCTCATGATTTGAAATAAGTATGACAACTAGGTCTAAAACCTCTCTTCCTAGTCACATACATGCAAGAATTTAACATTAAATTAAATTTCAAACTTCTATTTTAATTGTATTTTTTTATTTTAAAAATAAAAATTCTAATTCGTCGGTGTTTCTAAAAATTCGAAGGGGACCTTAGAATTAAAATCAAGGACATTTATCAAATTTTTAATCAAATCCTTGCCGTCCAATTCACAACTATCAACGCTCAAGACCTAATTATTAGTGATATGTGTGAAACATAAAAAACTTCCATTGTGCCCCTCATTATAAAAACATTTTGAAGAATGAAGAGTTTAAGGTTTGCAAGAGTGTTTGCCATGAAGAGTTCTCAATAATGGATTGCAAGAACAGAAAATTATTTGGGCTTAAGGTCTGTGTTTTTAAATGTTTGCCATGAAGAGTTCTTAAATTTTTTTTTATCAAAAAATTATTTATTTATCTAACCCTTTTTTTAACTAATTTTTTTCTTGCTCATATCAGAAACAAATGCATGCAAAAGTGATTGAAATATCCTTGCGCACAATATTTGATCTACCCTAAAATTATATGGTTTGAAGATCTAAAATCTAGATCTTCTGGAAATTAATTTACCTAACCATTTTTCTTTTGTTAGGAGAATGGAGTTTCCCAGTAATTGATCTTGTCAGAATATAAGAATTTAAGATCCAACATATGATCTTCATGGACAATTAATTTTATTTTTCTATATAAAAAATTTAATATTCTGGATACACAATGTAATAAGTTTTATTTATAAAAAAAAGAACAACCCTCGATTTTCTTGATAAACCGAGATAAAATATACTCTAGTTTTTTAATTAATAAAAATGCAGAAATTGAAGATCAAACTCATGCGCTAAAAAAGTTACCCCAATTTTAAAAATACCGAGATGTTAAATTCATACTTTTCATGATGGTCATATTTACCTCGTTTTAAATGTCAAGATAAAATACATTTTACATTCGACAATAGATACATTTTTTATAATAGTGATTTACTATTACATATGTTATATAATGTTGCAGAAGGAATCTGGAAAGGTTTTGATAGTCGAACTAGTGCTACAAGTAAATAACTCAATGGAATTCAGATAGAAATTGAAAACCAAACCAATTATATGATAGTTTAAGAAAACCAAAGTGATTGAGTCTTATGATTTTTCTCTTCAAAACCAATTGAATATACTATCCCCAAACACTTCTAAGAGGCATAGTAAAGGCATAAACAAGATTAAATCATTACAGTATTTACTCATAGAAACCAATTATAAAGGAGTATCTAAAATACTTTGGACAAAAAGAAATACTTTGGACAAAAAGAAATGAATAAAGTATAAAATCTTATATTATTTTGCGATCCATTTGAAGCTGCTAATGTGCCATTAATGCTCGCCTCAGTATAATATAGGATAAAAACTGGACCTATAGTGTAGTGGTAGAAATGTTTAAGACTAAGTCATTGGATTGACTAGACTTATACAGATCAAAATAAAAATCATCACTGCGCTTTATTGTTTCCAAAGGAATAGGAAAAGAGCGAGTAACCCAAAAAGAGGAGGAAAGATTCAAGGTAAGGGAGTTGGTTATGCAAAGGGAATGTATTAGCACCCTAAACATCTATGATACTCCGTAGGAACCTCTTTGTAAAATCTGTATATTTTGGCTATAAAATGTTGTATGAAAATAGATGGTGGATGTGAGAAAAGAAATATATTTTTTTATAATTTTCTCACCCGCCTCAGTTGCGTACCTTTAGTGCCTACGTACCATCTTTCGTGCAATAGGGGATCAGGGTACACGTAGTTCCTCTTTTAAAAAATTTAAAACACAAGTGTGTTGGTTAATTTCATGAGATAAGACATCATCGTCATTGTCTGTGTGGAAAACATACTTACTACCCACAATCATGAGAAATGAGAATTTGCATCATCTCAAAGTGGAGGATATGGCTTGGATTTTAAAATCAACAATGCCTCAGTCAACACCCAAGTGGAAAATATATCTCTTCACTATACATTATAGAAGTATAGTTATTTGCATCACTACAAGGATTGACAAGAGTCCAATCTTTTGAGAAAAGTTTTAAAGTAAAAAGCCAAAGTGGCAAAATGGTTTGTAATGAGATTGATTGACTTTTAGTCTTCTCACAAAAAAATGTCAAGGTATTATTAAGTTGATTCGATTTTATTTAGAAAAATATTTTGAAAATGCATGGACCTAAGTCCAAGTTTATTATGAAAATGGTTCAAGTTTAAAAACAAGAAGAATTTTCAAAGGGATGGAGAAGATTTTTTTTTAAAATTAAAGAAGATGGGAGGAGAAGAAGAAACTATCCTAAAGCATAAGGTAAAAGCTAGGGATAAGAACCATCTAACCAACAAGAAGCCAATATTTGACATTATGGTCAAGATATAATTCTCATTCTTTGGATTGAAACCAAACAAGTAAAGATACTAGACCTCTTGAGAGAACCAAACTTCAAGTATATTAAGTCTTCATAAAAATTGGACAGAGTAACAGCTGTATACGAGTGAATTCCAGATTATAAACAAATAATATAGTCACAATAACCTGCACACAAAACAAACAAGCAACCCAATGTCTTAATGTAAACCTCAAGAACTCCAGACAAAATATCAATTAATATCACAAGGTCTCCAACATAGGCCAAGATTTATAATCCTAAGTCCAAAAAGTCCAATACTCCGTAATGCCAAGGATAGTAACCAAATAGTCCAAGTATCATTAAAGGGTTTTTTATGATTCATGTTGATTATTAGGTGTCTTAGAAGAGAAAATAAAAAGCTCAAGTGAGCAAAATAAAAATGACATGAAATGTAACGCTTAAAGTAAATGGTACTTAAAGTATAAAAAATAAAATGGCATAAAGTAAAAACAATTTAATAATTAGTGGTTAGTTGGATGACCATCTTGAAACTTGTATTTGGAACTCATTAGAGGATTGGTAGAATCAAAGCCTCCACACAACAAGTTGCATTTGCTTTTTGTCGAGTATATCATCCATTTAGAATCCTCAAAAGTACCATTTAATGATCAACGATGTTTAAGTGATCCGCAATGACAAACAGTGTTGTAGATCCATTAGAGGATTACCAAAGCCTCCACACAATGAATCTCAAGGTTATTGGATCAAAGAGATCAAATTAACATACTTGGGCTTGCAAACATAGGTTTGGGCCACAAATGATCATTTATTCAAATCGGGATAAAATTTAGTGTTATGTTAAGCAATCGTAAGTGGACTTATGTAGAAGTCGCACCTATTTTGAGGCTGATCAATAGCAATCTATGTATTTCATGTTTGGATAAATGATATAGAGATCATCATCCCTTAACATGTAGCACAATAAAAAAAGAGAAAGGGATAAGATGAAGAGAGGTGGGGAAGAATATACAACCACATTTGAATTAAAATTTAATCAAACTATTATTAAAATCATTCATCCATTTTTGTGGAGTTAGACTCAACACCATGGATCCAATGATGTTAATAAAGTTCATGATCAAAAATTCAACCCAAGATTATCCAGAAAATCATCACAAAATAATATTACACTTATTATATACATTAGAAAGGTTTTTTAAAATGTTTTAAAATAGGAATAAAAGAGAAAAATATCAACTATGCTCAAATTAATCTAGAAATAAAAAGTAAGACCATTGAAAAATCAAAAATGAAATAAAATAATTTTATAAAAATTTTGGTAATTTTTTAAAGTCAGAAACTATTTTCAAAATAAAAGAAATGAGTAAAATAACCAAAAATGATTAAAAAAAATAGAAAAGTCAGAAATAAAAAATAAATGAGGTCACTAATATTTGTCGCAATATCATTGGATCATTCCATAATTTTTCAGAATTAAAAAATGCATAAAAGTATTTTTAAACATTTAAAACAAATCAAATAAACTGAAAATTTATAAAAA